AAAAAAAAAAAAAAAACACATCTTAGTAAAACCATTACCGTCTCAGCTTCGCATCGAAGCTAAAATTGAAAGCCTTACACAAAACTTTTTAGATAATAAATTGGTGTCAATTATGAATACTTTTATTATTCAATTTTTCGTGCTAATTTGAAATTAGCAATTATATCTTTTCTATCACCAATAATTACAATTATTTATTTATTTATAAAAACATTTTACGGGCATTAGCCCCTTTTACAATTATTGATATTATTACTAATTAGTTAAAAACCATAAGATATAACTATAAGGAAATTATTCTTAATATTTCAATTGTCTCATCAATTTAAATACTAAAAGTTACATAGAAATGATTAATTTTTCTATTAAAATAATTTATTATAATGAAAAAAAAATTATTTTTTAATTACAGATTTTTATTTTTATTATGTTAAAAATAATTAATTCAAAATATCGTTTTTAACATATTTTTGTTGCCAATTCAATTTAAAATTTAAATTTGAATACAATTAATTTTTTATTAAAATTAAACACTAACTAAAGATTTGCAACGAAGCGTTTTTTATGTTAGTGATTTCAATCACTGTCCTATATCATTCATACTTGTTCCAACTATACCATATCCACACAAATTGAATCAAGTTGAAGATATCGCCCTTAAAAATTGAAAAAATTTCTACTGTTATCTGTAAATGGCAATAATTCCTCAAAACATTAAATTTTTTAAATCAGTAGATTTCGTCTTTTTTTAACTTTTTGTTCTTAAAAGTGCTATAAATTTATGAAAAATTAACAAAACAAAAGAATGTGTGTAGTTACTAACGAAATGATTAATTATAAATATCGAATAAAAGTCCACAAATGATTCTAATAATGTCGCTAAAATTCAACTACTTAGTATTACTAAACTTCTTTAATAATCTAGGTCCGATAGACCATAATGTTCTTTGGGTGTGGTGAACTGTAAAATCTTATAAAATCAACAATTTTTTTCTTTGAATGATTAAATTTTTTCGACTATATACGATTTGTAATCTTTTGACGTATCGTTGAAAAAAATCGGTTCGGTGAGAGCTGAAAAAAATTAATAACAGACAAAAAAAAACTCATTGTAATAAAATTCATACAGATTTAAACTTCGTATTGGAGCTAAAATTTTATTACAATCATCAAAGGTAACAATATGATACAATTATTGATGTAAGATGCGTAATGCAAAGTATTGGGCATATTACGACAGTATAGATTAATTAGTTCAATTAAAGTAGATTAAAATTAAATAGATTGGAATTTAATTAATTATTATAAGTCATTATATGTTTATCCCTAAGGATGGATTTTAAGGGTAAATTTGCAAGTCAAATGAGAATCTATTATTATTTTTTAACTATTAATTAGAGAATGTTCTAAATACAATTTTAACAGGTCAGTAATAGGTAATATAATTACTTTTATGAATTGTTACAACTTTTAGTTGTAGTCGAGAAGGGTGCGCAAAGTTGAAGAATTCTTATCTGTGTATTATGATAAAAATGAAGGGGGTTACTAAACACTACTCTATTCCTCTGCTTTATTTAAATCGTCAAATGCTAATATCTTAAAAAACAATAATACAAATTTGGTTATCCACCAGCCAAAATTTTACTTGGGCCATATTCCATTTAATAGTAAAAAATAATTACAGCTTCTCATTTAACTTTCGGGAGTTACCCATAGAATATAAAATTAAGTACAATTTTTTCTTACAATAAGTTGGATATTTGCAATGTTTTAAAGATTAAATTAAATTTTACATTCCTATACAAAAATAGAGAGTAGTATATTTAAAAAAACATACTATAAATAATTGTATTTTATAGCATATTTTTCATAAGTAAATAAAACTTATGAATCAGCATAATACGATTAATGTAATTTAACTCTAAGCATTAATAAATACAAAACATATTTATCAAAAAAAAAAAAATGAGTCATTTTCAATAATGTATGTAAAAATATGTGTCTCTTTTGTAAATAGACAAATCAAATAATAATGTTATATTAATGAATATTAAAATTTAAAAAATTTTTTTTTTAATAGTACATGGAGCAGATAGCACAAGTGGTAAGATATTTAATTATTTTTATTTTATTTTATACTTAATTATTATTCATACGTTTATTTTTAGTGTTGTATAATATATTTTTTCCGTGTAGAAAGGGGTTATGGATGTGGATGGGGGTCGTTCAAATTATTATTCGCTTGGTAAGTGAAGCTGGTACGGTTGGGCGATGGGACGAGGGACAGTGCTGAGCGCTATATTTTGTTTTAATGTAGTATTGATCTTTGTGGTTTGTTGTTCATACGCCAACCGTCACCATCTATGATCTGTGATGTGATGATGGATGAACCCAGTCGTTTTCCTTCCTTTCCTAAGACGAGTACGGACAGTGTAGCCAATTTGCTTGTTTCAGCAATTGCGTAACACGAACAATAGAGGGGGTAGTTTAAAAACTCAAGAAGTATGAATTGACTAGGTTAATAATGCACTGTGTTTTGCCATGTTCTACCGTATTTGCGCGCGGGTAGTATATCGGTGTGTTTGTGCCTATACGTCTAAGCCAAAGTTCGTCTAATAAAAAAATTGATTTTTTCTTTTTAACACACTTTTACTTATCCATAATGGAGAAGGTGTGGTTGATTTGTTTTTAATAGAAGAGAGAAACATATTGATATTTTGTAACTGTTGTCCTACGTACACCATAAACATCGATTGCAGGACGTGTCCTCTTTTTGTTGTCGTCATGAATATTATAAAGAGTGGCGGTGCGCGGGGACGGTTGTGTTGTTGGTGTGTATATTGAATCATTATCTGGGTATCCTCGTCGACATGGGACAACATGTTTGTCATTACGATTGCCGGACAAGTCTGATGTAGTGACATTTAGATCACCTAGGTGTAGAGACCATTTAGTTAATTTACTGTTATTACCGTTCGAATTATGTAAATAAGTCAACTCGAATTTTATAAAATTTTGTTTAATCGCTACGCTTTTTCCCACAGACGATTATTTACATTATTTATACGCTAAAATTCCTACAATTTAATAAATCATTACTTATACTTTATTATGGTCACTATAACTATGTTCAAGCGTCCTTGAATTTACATACATTTACATTGTTTATTACATGAAACACAAAAACAATATAAGACAACGAATACTAAGATGAAACCGACCACCGAGCGTTCCAACTTGCCAATTTCTAATGTACTCCTATGTTTCTTCTAACATAGCTTTTTCCCACAGACGGTGACAGCAATTATTTACACTATTTATACGATGCCAAACCCGACCCATTAATTTCTACAATTAAGTAAATCAATTAATTATACATTGCTGATACTTTAATATGGTCACTATAACTAGGGTCAAGCGTACATGAATTTACATACATTTACAATGTTTATTACATAATGCACAAAAACAACACAATACTACAAATACGTAGTGAAACCCACCACCGAGCATTCCAACTTGCCAACTTCTAATGTACTCCTATGTTTCTAATAGCCATATTATATTTATATTCAATGTGATATTATGATCTCATTGTTCATTTAAGGGTGATTGTTTAATTAGAGGTAAGTAGGTTAAGGGTTAGATTTTCAAAAATATATATACTTATAGAAAGGGAAATATAGTATTTATTAAAAAGAAATACTATGATTCATCTTTTTTCAAAAAGTTATGACAGATTTAAATAAAAATAACGACACGAAAAAGAGTGATTTTTTATACAAAACTAACATTTTTTGATTTATTTTATGGTCCATAGGTAATCAGAAAGATAATAAGTGTGTCGATTGCAATAGTGTAGATGATTTATTAGAAACAACATGGTCAAAACCGACGGATTCATGTCATCATAAAGTTTGTTATTCGTGTTATCTAAAGAACGAAAAAAATAAAACAAAAAAATGTCCAGGGTGTAGATTTATTTTATTGGGATATAAACTTGGTAAACCATAATAATATAAAATAATAATAATACAATAAGTAAAATATAACAAATAATATCATTATACAATGACGTTTTTTTTTTAACGAAAATTCTCAACAATTTCAAAGAATATAAAAGCATTTTAACCAAAAATAAATCACCCAGTGTATCAAAAAATGTATGCTCTACCGTAATTTGAATTTAGTATTCCTAGAACAAAAATCGAATAACAAGCCCCATGCAAAATATTTTCATCACTACAAATTGGAAATTGTGGTACTCATTTTTTTTTTTTTTTGTTCCCCTACTTTATAATTAGGAGTAATTGACGATACGAGTATATCACACGAACCAAAAAGAATACATAACAGTATAATTTTATATTTCATGTTATTGTGTGCTAATATATTTAAAAATAAAAATTGTTAAATAGCATTAAAAATTAAAATTATAAGGTATAAATGAATACTTCATATTTTCATTAAAATTCTTTCATGTATAGTGCGTTAATTATATATTTTTGTGAATTTCATATTATTTATGCTAATAAGTAGTGTATAAATGTTCCTTCTAAAACACCTGATCACATGATCACCTGATCGCCTGATCGCCTGATCACATGATCGAGTGTTTTGGTATTTTTTTCAATGAAAGTTGTCTTTATACGACAGCAGTTTCCCTTTACGTCTATGTGTTCATAGTTGCTTGCATGATATTAGATCACTTGTTCTTATTTTTATGACGCTAGGTACATAAATAAAATAGGGTCACCAATTTACTGAGCAAGACAATGTATTGTCGGACCACAGTAAGATTTTAAAAAAATAGAAAATGAAACATTGAAATTAATTTAATATATTTTAAAAATAATAAGAATGGAAAAAACTATGTTATTCATTTTTATAGCCATTATTATAATAAGCTACTAACAAATATTAAAGATAAGAATAAAATATGTTTTTATAACTGACCATATCATAAAAATATTAAATATAGAGATAACTGTAACTTATAAAATAATTAAAGCTGTAACTGATGTTCTAGTATATGTAACTAACGAATTTAAGTAACGCACACTCAAATAGTACCGTTTAGGGTAGTGACACACAAGGTCACACTAATTATGAAATAAGAATGAAGAAAAGCAAAGATCGACACAGTTTTATGATGAATAAGTAAGGTGTAAACCCTTTTATTTAATCACCAGTCACAGATGTGATTGACACAATTCAATACTATTAAGATAATTACAAGGTCAAACAATAATATCCAAATTGATATTGTCGTAATATACTCGTCACCATAGTAAAATGAATAAAAAGTATGCTCGATCACAGTCCGCATTTTTGTCGTAGAACGCACAAGTGCATCGCCTTGAATTTTTGTGCATTCGTATACGAGGTGTGACAATTAAGTAATGAGACTGATTTTATTGCCGCGCTCGTGANTATGATCGGTGAAATACGACCGCTGCCGAATGTACTTTAAAATCGCGCGATTTTTAAATTGATAATTCTGATATAATATATATATGATAGACATTATTTTCAAGTAATAATTATATTAATTACTTTAAAACAACGCATTGTAATAATACTTTATGTTAAATTTAATCGTGGATACTTATTTTAGATGTAATTTTTTGTTGTAACTTTTGTATTTTAATGAAAAATTAGGACTTTGTACCTCGTTAATTAAACGTGAGCTATATTAACTAGTGTACAGAATTATTTTTTCATGTTCTAACATTGAATTAACACCACTTTAACTTGCTAATAACAGTAATTATTATTTGCATGAAATTGTATTTTATTAATTTCTCTTCTGTGTGTTTCATAGTAGAGATTTGTAATTTTATAACTCATATTTAAGTATTTTTTCGTTTGATGCTGTTTAGTAAAGATTTTTCAAATCGACTTTATAGTCGATATAATGCGAAAAAATTGTCATTTTAAATTCCCCCCCTGTGGGCAGGTTAAGTGTCAGATTTACCAAACAAATATACCAAATGATAAGTAAAGACATCATGCATCTATAAATAAAAAAAAATTACTAATCTATACAATTTCCAAAAAGTTATAGCATTATTAAATTTAAAATATAAAAAAGAATTATTTTACAAAAATCGAAATTTTTTATTAACTTTGATATCTATTTTCACCACGAAGACAAGTCCAGAGGTCAAATTTTTTTTTTAAATTGAAATATATTACATTAACTTTAATTTTAAATATATATAAAAGTGTCAGACTTTCCGGAACACTTTCAAAAGTTAAGTTGAAAAAGTTCTACTTTCTATATGCATTTTTCAGGTTTGATCACCCCTCGTATATAAGAAAATAATCTGATTTAAATAAAAAGTATGTGGAATGAAAGACGTATATAAATAATACTTTTCATGAAAAAATTGTATTGATCTATACATTTTTAAAAAAGTTATAGCATTTTAAATTAAAAATGTAAAATATAAAATTGAAAAATTTCACACAAAAATAGCATTTGGTAGCCATTTTCACCACGAAGTCCAGAGGTCAAATTTTTTTTTTTCAGAATAAAGTACATTATATTAGCTTTAATTTAAGATATATATAAAAGTGTCAGACCTTCCGAAACATTTTCAAAAGTTAATTTTTTGTGAAAAAGTTGTCATTTTAAATCCCCCCCTGTGTGCAAGTTAAGTGTCAAATTTACAATAATATACCAAATGATAGGTAAAGACATCAAGCATCTATAAAAAAAAAACTATATTAATATGTTCATTTTTGAAAAAGTTACGACAGTTTTAGTAAAAAAAATTGAAAAAATTTCGAGAATTAGCGAATTTTAAATTTGTAATTTTTTTTAAGGTTTCCTCTATTTACGGGGAACGAGGGAAATTTTTTCAATTTTTAAGGATAATGTCTTTAACTAGATACGATTTATGATCTTTTGACCTATCGTTGAAAGAAATTTGTTCGGTGAGAGCTAAGAAAAAGTGGTAACAGACACAAAAAAAAAAAAAACACTTAGTAAAACATCGAAGCTAATATTAAATTCTCTCATATAATTTTGATAATGACGGGAATAGGATGACAGCCCTGTAGTCTTTTGGATCATAGACTAGTTTCCCGTTGGTATCATATAAATATATTCTAGTTAATTTAAAAGTGTCATTCGATTTAGTATTTGTTAGTTTATTGAATGGCTATAACATGTGTAGGGAATTTATTTTTATTTAATATTCTCGTAGCTGTTTTTAAGAGAAATATTCGATTTTTTAGATGATCAATAACTTCTGATTCGTTAATGGATGTGGCAAATTCCTAATGGTGGCTTAGTTTTCTTTTTAACTTTTAATCGATATGTATAATATTCGTATTTGTTTATTTCAAGGTATTTTGTTAATGAGTAGAAGTCGTCAACAGTTTTTAAGTTTATTTTTATTTTATCTTTTAGTTTCGATGCGAAGCTGAGAAGGTATTAATTTTAGCATAATGTATTTATTTTTTTTTTCTGACTGGACTGATTTTTCTCAACGACACGTCAAAAGATCATAAATTGTATCTAATTGAAAGCATTACCCTCAAAAATTGAAAATTTTGCCCTCATTCTCATATAAATTAAAAAATTCCCCAAAAATTATGATTTTTAAAATCAGTTAATTTCGACATTTTTTTTTTTTTCTAAACATAGCCATTACTTATTGAAAAATAAACAAATTAATATAATTATTTTGTATATTAAAACTTTAGATATTTTCCTTTCATTTGATATATTTTTTGAAAATCTGACCCTTTACATGTGTTATAGGGGGGATTCAAAATAGCAACTTCTGCACAAAAATTTAACTTTTTCAAGTAACTTTTTATCGTAACTCAAAATAACAGGTAGAACAATAGTAATAATTTGGTAAAAGGGAGGAGTTACTTTAATTCGGGGTGTGATTCGAGGATAATAAAATAATAAAAACAAACAGATATAAAAAGAAATAATTAAAGTTCCTTTTATAGAGATATTATAGATGACCCAACTGGTAAGTACCTTAAATAATACACTGAGTCAACGAAGAGGCGGTGGCCATCTCACGAATGTGATTATGTATAAGGTACAAACTAGTCAGTAGTAATTAATTAAAGTTTGAAAATTAATATAAATATTTAATCTATTGTTTTATCATTCTTTACTCAGATTACTAATTCTAAATAAATGGGTGTTAATCTAATATAAATATTGATTCATATTAATTTTAAATTTTTCTGATAATTATTCTTTGTTCTTATAATAACTTTTAATAGTCATGAAATAACAACAAAAATAACACAAACTCTAATTTTTAGTTCATAAATTAACACATAAGAATTCCGACAATGATGAACACAAACTTTACGTATCGATGTCAAAAGCGCGATCGGAACAGACGAGAGTGCGATTAGAATAGACCCACTCTCAGGGATTGCTCTGCCTTTTTATAATATTTTATATCCCTGAAAATTGTATCATTCTTGCAATGTTATTATTTTATTGATAAGTAATCATTAAATATAGAGATTAACAAATAAAATAATATAAATATATAAATTAATATATAAAGTAACATAAAATATATAAATTAATACATGCGAATAACATACAAATCATTTTGATAATTTATATAACTTTATTATAGTTTGTTTTTACATTTAAGATTAGGGTTGACACACTGTTTTTATTATTAAGATAAGAGTAAAAATAGCTGACAAGTATAATTTATAAATTTCTTAAAGAGTGATTTTTAAAGATGACTAATAATTGACTCATGTCTGAATCGTGTGTAATATAATATATAATATATGAAGCAACAGTATGCGTTTGTGAAATATTTCTCTACGTTATTTATTTAAATTATTTGTTTGATAATAATAATCATGTTATTCTAATAATATGAATAATAATTTATAAATAAAAGTGTTAATAATCTTAAATAAAAAAATTAAATCAACGACCATAATTGTGGACACAAACAGAGTAGCCTACTGTTATCCGATATTGATAGTGATGAGCATAGTAAAATGAATAAGAAGTATGTTCAAATTAGTGTGCATGATATGCCTAGGGGCAAAATATACAACCAACAATAAACTCAACGTGACGTCACATGTAAATACATTGCGTTGTATATATTCTATATTAAGGGGCACTGTCTCGATTTAGCCAAGTATTTTAATGAACTTTTTTTAGTTAATTTCGGTTTCAAATTTCATTTATAATTTTTTTATTATTATTATTAACTTCAACTGTGTTGAAGTACATCTTTATTGTATTATCTGCTACACTGTAGTAATTTATAAACCAAGATTTAACTCGTTGATAAATCTAACCTGAGAAAAATTTTAACTGCATAGTAAAATTTTACAGTGTTTAACTGTAAATAAATAGTTAAATATCAATTTGTTATGCAATTAATTACAGTAAGTATAAATTGTTACATTATTTATAAAAAGTGTAATTTTAATGATTGTTTAATAAATTTTTGAATTTTTTTTTTTATTGCTCATTTCTTGTGATACAAGTTTTTTATTTATGTTCCGTATTCTAAAATATATTCTTGTTCTAATAATGAAATTTAGGACTTCATCATCCACCAAAAGATTATCTGAATTACATGCTTTTTTAGTACTTCCTTTATTAAGCCTGGAGTTTTTCTAATATCATCTATTAAAAATTTAATCATAGGTATGTATAAAATATTTTACATTAACTGTATTTTTATAGGTACCATTTCGATTTAATTTTTTAAAAATAGTTTCTATGATTTTTCCTAAATTTATTAATGTAGGTGATGGTTGTCGTAATATTCCAAATTGTTTAGCCTTGTATCGTTACGCTACAGCTTTATTACCGTTTGTCAGTTGCAAGAAAGTCCACTGGACAGCGCTATTTGATAACTTTTATTCAAAAGAATATAATATAATATATTTTTTATTTAATTATATTGATAATAATGCTAGTAAAATCTTTTACATATCAGTCCAAACAGGAATTCGCAAATCAAATAAAATATTAAAATACACATTTATTCACTGGTCAACACTACTCAGGTGGTGACGGGTAGTATAAAATACACCTTCACTTCTTATACATTAATTAATTATTCTTCTTTTTGTTTTTCTTTATGTTATTTTTATAATAGTGTTAAAGTTTTTAGATACTAGTTATTGCAATATTAATTGCCGACTAGTTTATGTTCATACATCGCTCCACCGAGATAGTTACTTTATTTCTTTCCTTACATCTTAATATTTAATATATATAATTTTCAACGGTGTTTGTAACTACGTGTTACTTACCAACCGTGATCAAAATTTTATATATTAAATTCTTTACTTAAAAAGTTAGTTCAATCTTCAACGGTGATCATAGTACATAAAATAAGCTTTNAGTGTCGGGACAAATTTTTTTTTTTCATTTTATAGTACATAAAATAAGCTTTAATTTGATATATGTTTAAAGGACGCAGTATTTCCGGAACACTTTTAAAAGTTAAGTTGAAAAAGTTCTATTTTTTATATAATAGTTATATAAAGTTTTGAACGCCCCCTATATATAGGGAAATTGTCCAATTTTAATAAAAAGTATGTTAAATGAAAGATGTACTTATAATGTATTAAAAAAAAAAAAAATTTGTGCTGATACATACATTTTTTGAAAAGTTATAGCATTTTTAAGTTGGAAATTTAAAATTGAAAATCGAAAATTTTAACACAAAAATAGCGTTTTTTTAACTACGGCAGCCGTTTACATGCAGAAGATAAAGTGTCGGGATAAATTTTTTTTTTCGTTTTGTAGTACATAAAAAAAGCTTTAATTTGATATATATTTAAAGAACGCAGTATTTCCGGAACATTTTCAAAAATTAAGTTGAAAAAGTTAGTTTTTGTAAAAAAGTTGCTATTTTGAATCTTCCCCAATGAGCAGGTTAAGTGTTAGATTTTCAAAAAAATGATATCAAATGAAAGGAAAATATCTAAGGTTTTAGTATAAAAAAAATTTATTTTGATTTGTTTATTTTTTAAAAAGTTATGNGTTTTAGTATAAAAAAAATTTATTTTGATTTGTTTATTTTTTAAAAACTTATGGATGTTTTAAGAAAAAAAAGTGAAAAAAATGACAAAATTTACCGATTTTTAAATTTGTAATTTTTTTGGATATTTCCCCCATTTTCGGGGAATGAGGGAATTCTTTCAATTTTTAAGGGTAATGTCTCCAACTAGATACGATTTGTGATCTTTTGACGTATTTTTGAAAGAAATCGGTCAAGTGAGAGCTGAGAAAATATGGCANGAAAAAAAAAAAAAAAAAAAAAAAAAAAAAAAAAACACATCATAGTAAAATTAATACCTTCTCAGCTTCGCATCGAAGCTAAAAATTCTATGGGCTATGTTTTCCAAGAATGTACCATCTTAACCTAATGTAATATATTTAATATTAATTTCTTCAATATCTTTCTAATTTATTGTTTTAAAATGAATAATAATTGATTGGAAAAATATTTAACATTCATTATGCATCTTTCACATACTATAATAATCCTTTTCATTACATCAAAGTGTGGATTGCACTGACGCGATTGGCAACAAATGTATTCCATTTACTTGATTCTGCAGCTAACCAAGCTAAAGTGACAGCTGAATCTGTCCAAAAATATCTTTTTGATATGTTCAGTTTAAGCGCCGATATAATTACATGCATAAGACGTGATAAAAGTAATGCCGCACATAACTCTAATCGTGAAATTGTCACTATCTTTATCGGTGATATACGCGACTTTACGCACATTAATTGGCAGTTAACGACTCTGTACGTTATATCTGTAGTACGTATATAGATACACGCAGCATATGCTTGCGTAGATGCATCCGCGAATACATGTATTTCAATGTGTTTTTCTTTATCACATTCTTTGTCAGTATGTGTTTAGCGTTGATAATGGTAACATTGTTTCCGAAATACGTATCCGCGACTTTTCATTAATTTTTTGTGGATTTGAGTTTAATATTTTTTAGTTTTTTTAATTAATAATATTTTTAATATAGTTTTAATTTTACTTAATTAATTAGCCACATGTGATCAATTTTTATTATATATAGGTTATCATAGATTTTTTGACATTTGCATCGTTTGTAGATATAATGTAGCTATTGCTACTTGGAACGAAAAAATATTCATTTTCCAGACGGGGTACGTCCTAACCCTTGATTTTTTAACATTTGTATAGTTTTGGATATTTATTAAAAAATAAAAAATTACCCTCCACTTCAAATATTTGACCTCTTTCGACACCGGTTAATTATAATTTTATGTTTATAAATTTACACTGTTATGTATTCGTTTTAGTTCATGTGATAAACTTCAATCTTTAATTACTCCTAATTATAAAGCACGGGAACTAAAAAAAATGGGCACCTCAATTTCCGATTTCTAGTGATGAAAGTATTTACACAAGACTTCTTAATCGATTAGAATACTAATATCGCTAAATCCTAATTACAGTAGAGCTCATATTTATGATATACTGAGTGATTTATTTTTGGGAAAAATACTTTTATATTCCCTGAAATTTTTGAGAATTTTTATTAAAAAAAGACAACATTGTATAATAATATTATTTGTTATATTTTACTTATTGAATTAAAAATAATTTATCTAATTATTATTTAAAAGCCATGACAATAAAAATACATTACACTTTGGACAATGCTTTGTACCTAATTGTTGGTGTTTATAATAACACATTAAACAAACTTTATGATTACATGAATCCGTTTTCTCTAAAGCTGTTATGTTAAATGATCCTTCTGGAAAACTGCAATCGGCACAATTCTCATCATTTTGCTGATTACCTATAGCCCATAAAGTAAATAAAAAACTGTTTTAGGTGTTGTTATTTTTATTGAAATCTGTCATAACTTTTTGAAAAAAATGAATCATAGTAATTTTTTAGCTACGATACGAAGCTGAGAAGGTATTAGTTTTACTATGAAGTGTTTTTTTTGTGTCTGTTACCACTTTTTCATAGCTCTCACCGAACCAAATTCTTTTAACAATACGTCAAAAGATCACAAATCGTATCTAGTCGAAGACATTACCCTCAAAAATTGAAAAAAATTGAAAATATAAAATCCAGAATTTTTACAAATAATAGCATTTGGTAGCCATTTTCATCATGAAGATAAAATAAAGTCCAAAAGTTTTTTTTTCTTTGATAAAGTATATTACATTAGCGTTTATTTAAGATATATATAAAAGTGCCAGACTTTCCGGAACACTTTTAAAAGTTAAGTTGAAAAAGTTATTTTTTTGTGAAAAAGTTGTCATTTTAAATCCTTTCCTATGGGCAGATAAAGGGTCAGATTTATTAAAAAAATATACCGAATGATAGGTAAAGACATTATGCATTTATAGAAAAAATAAATTATATTAAACATAAAAATATATATTGATTTGGTTGTTTTTAAAAAAGTTATGGTAGTTTTAAGTAATAAAAATGAAAAAATGTCGAATTATCATGAAAAAAAAATTTTGGACTTTATTTTGTCTTCACGGTTAAAATAGTTGTCGAATGCTAATTTTGTGTGGAAGTACTTGATTTTATATTTTAAAATCAATAATTAATACAATTTTTTATGAGAAATAATATTTATATCCCTGTTTCATTCGATATCCTTTTTTTGCTTCGATGCGAAGCTGAGAAGGTATTGATTTTACTATGAT